CAATATGTGAACAGAATAAAATAATAAAACACAACTTGCATTCAACAGTCAACACTCGGGCGGGTAAATTGGGATATGCATATAACGTGAGTTGTTCTTGAACAGCAAAGGTGACTAGCAAGCAAGTATTGGAGCACATCACACCAGCCATGTCTCTGGAAGGCAAAAACCACAAAGCCACGCCTCACATATTTTGGCCACGTCATGCAGGGGTAATTACTGGAGAAAGTAATCATGCTTGGAAGAGTCAGTGGCAAAAGGAAACCAGCCTGTCAAAGAACACGGCGGCTGGACGACATCAAAGCTGATATCGTCTGGAGCATAGAAAAACTCAAATAAGCAGTGGAAGATCGGAAGATGCAGAGAGGGGTCTGGCCCACGGAATCGCCAAGAGTCGGACAAGGACTGAATGGATAAAATCATCGTCAATGTGAGCTGTTTCCTCACCAGAAAGCTCAACTCAGAAAGCTTGGAGTGCCCAAGGATCTGCTGATCCAGTTCTACAGAGGAATGATGGGAGTCTTGTCCTTTGGACCTCAAGAACTGTCTGGTTTGCCACAGCAACCAAACAGGACAGGTACAGACTTCAAGGGATAGTTAGGCCCGTAGGAAAAACAACCTGCCTTCCATTGAGGGCAAACATACAGCCGATATAGGTGGTCCTCGACTTACGGCTACAATTGAATCCAACATTTCTGAAAGCTTTTAAGAAGAGATTGGACAACCACTTGTCTGAAATGGGATAGGGATTCCTGCCTGAGCAGAGGGTTGGACTAGAAGACCTCCAAGGTCCCTTCTGTTTCTATTCTGTTTCTTTCCTTTTCTCCTTTTCTATTATTCTAAGTATATTCTGTATTCTATTCTGTTAAGTGAGACATTTGTTAAGTGAGTTTTGTCCCATTTTACAACCTTTCCTCCCACAATTGTTCAGTGAATCACTGTGGCTGTTTAGTGAGTAACCCAGTTGTTCAGTGAATTTGATTCCCCCCCCCTCCACTGACTTTGCTTACCCCACTGACCGTGGGGATGCTGCAACAAGTTATGTGTGAGAAACGGTGTCACAAGTCTACTTTTTTCAGTGCCGTTGTAACTTTGAACAGTCACTAAATGAAACATCAGACAGAGGGCTGATCAAACTATCTGGACCCCCTCACATCCTCAACGTAAACTGTTTCAGCTCCTCCCCTCAGGACCCCGCTAGAGGGCATTGTGTGTCAAAACAACTAGGCAGTGCTGTGGGAATTAGGTTTTCAACCGAATGAGATCCCAAGGGAAAAATTCCCACAGCGCTGTCTTAGGCCTAAGGATATTTACCCATGTAGTATGGGTGTGGTGTATTGCTATTCTTCTCATCTTTCCTATTACCTTCCACTATTGGTATCTTATGATTTATCACTTGTTTGCACCTTACGATTAATGATTTTAACTGTGCTTTATGATCTCTGACCTATCACTTTGTTTTTATTTATGTACACTGAAAGCTGATGCACCAGAGACAAATTCCTTGTGTGTCCAATCAGACCTGGCTAATAAAGAATTCTATTCTATTCTAATTTTTTTAACCTATTTTACATACACTCTATTGCCAAAAGTATTCGCTCACCTGCCTTTACTCGCATAGGAACGTACTGTAAGTGACATCCCATTCCTAATCCATAGGGTTCAATATGACGTCGGCCCACCCTGTGCAGCTATAAGAGCTTCAACTCTTCTGGGAAGGCTGTCCACAAGGTTCAGGAGTGCGTTTATGGGAATCTTTGGCCATTCTTCCGGAAGCGCATTTGTGA